GAGACATTTTGTCCCATAGATTGTAAAGTGATTAACACGATACACAACCAAAAATTACTGAGTATAGCGGAAATAAAATTGAGACAAATTGCAGAGTAAAGACTAAAAGGTTGCATCCACTGCAGGTAGACACAAACTTTAATATGCATACATTTATTACTTTAAAATAATAATTTAGAAAATGTCATGCAGTAAAATGAGCCTTCAAGTCTTCTGGGCTGTTAGAAAACAAGTAAAATAAATTCACTATTTTTTTTTCTTTTTTTGGTGGAAACAGGGATTGAACCCTTGTGCTTGACAGGCAGGTCCTTATTCTAATGAGCCATCTCCCCAGGCCCTCAAAAATGAATATTTTTATGAGAAATTTGAGAGATAAAACATAATATTCAAACATAATGTGAATATTATTAAATTAAAATTTAGATTTGAATAAATCCCTCAAAACAAAGAGCAACAAAAAATACAAAGAACACCTACAAAGAAATAAAAAAGCACTATTATGATGTATTGGAAAAGGAGTAAAAAGATGATAGATAGATAGATAGATGATAGATAGATAGATAGATAGATAGATAGATAGATAGATATAATTGCACTAGTTAAAGAGCAGTGAGAAAATTCATTTAAGGAAGAAGCAAGCAGTGATTAACCATACTGAAGAAAATTTGAAAAAGAATACCAAAAAGAAAAGAAAGCCACAGAAAAAAATTCTACAATTTATAATAGGGCCAGAAGCCAGAAAGTACTGAGCACCTTATATATAAGATAAAATATAAAGCAATATAGAATTACTAGTGTACAACATTTGGAAAATCAGAGAAAAAAGGTGTTAGTAAAAGAGTAGAGACAAATGAAAATCTCAAATGTTAACATTAGTGTACAGACATCATTTTTTTTAGAAATCAGTAGAAAGTAAAAGAGAGATAGATTGTTCAATAAATTATCAATAGGTAAAAATGTATTGAAGTAAATCACTAAAATAAATACAAATAACAAGAAAATAGTAATAAAATGAACAAACTAGGGGGAAAGCCATAAACAACAACAAAAGTGCTTAATATATATCAGTACAGATATGTAAGATATTGACATTAAGACAATGGACTAAATTATTAAGTGTAAGAACAAAGATTATTTACTACCAAATAAATAATCTGGCAATGATGCTAAATTGCATATATATGTATAACGAATACAGTACACAGTCAGAGGATAAAGTCCATTATATTCCTCCTTGCTTCCACTTATTCCTCAAGAGGATTGCTTTTAGACATGAGAAATAGCTTCCTGAGAGGAAGAAAAACTTTTTATGTGTCATTAGCTAAATGATTCATTAATTAAATGAATAGTGTGTATGTAGCATTTGGTCATGTCAGATTTAGTGTCATGATATTGGAATTACCAGGTTGGTAGGATGTGGTTCTCTACCTGTGTAGACTTGGGTACATTGAAGGGACCAGATAACTCTGTCAATCAGTGCAGTAAGAGCTACTGCAAATAGGCTCACAAGGCTAAAGTTTCAGAGCTCATGTTTATAAAGCTGTGTTCAGGAAAAGCTACACTCAGAGAGGAGAGTCTTAGCTGAGGTGTAAAGTGGGGAAAGTTAGAATTGTGTAGAGCAAGAAAGAATGGAAGGAATTTCATGGAAAGATGCACTCGGGATAAATCTACAAAAGTGTAACACTTGTAAAGCCACTTAAGATAATTTGCATATTGTAAATGAGTGGACAAGTCATGAATGGATAACTGCAACTGTGTATGTAACTACAAACTTTGCATATCTAACTGGATAGAAATTTTGCATTTGTAAAACTAATTTCTTTTAAATTTTCTATAATCAAATTATTTCATAAGTTTTCCTCATTTAATTACATAGCATTCCTTAAAAATTATTGTATATAACCATAATCTATTAATACTTCACCAGTCTATTCCTCACATATATTTATCAGTACAATTAAAGAATTTTATTCATGAAGCCATCAAAATTCCTCTAACTTTATAACTGTGACTACGTTTTTTTTTTACTTCCTCTCTAGCATACTGGGGTACCCTGTTAGTTCTTTGTTTTCAT